ATATAATCATATACCTTAGGTGACACCTACAACTATTAGGTGAACAAAACTGTTATACTTTGTACCAACATGTTGGAAGGGCATAAAAAAGAAACAAAACTAACTTGGCTTTCTTTCACTTGAAAACAAACAATTTGTCTACCATATGACAAAAAATATGTTTGACAAGTGGTTGAGTAATTTCACCCATTGCACGATTTTTTTTCTTAATAAATAGGCAATGGTTAAGTAAAATATGTACAAAAGAGCACACTTAAATTCCAATCGTTGGGCATACTTTCGTCCGGTCACATTTTACAAAGAAAATCCATCTTTGTTGTTCTTCAGACCGGTAATTGCTATTCGAACTTCTTCATGGTCGGGCAATGGCATGTTCGCTCCGTCGTCATCAATTGGGGAATTGCGTTCGCCTTCGCTGGAGAAGTGTTCCCTTTAGTATGGTCTTGGCATCAGTCTCTTGATCAACTTTGGGGGTTCTGCAAAAGTATGCTCCGGTTTTAAAACCTTCTGTTTGTCGCAGCATCTTTTTTTTAGACTTTTCGAGCATAACCCCTGTCCTCCAGCTTATAAAGCTCTTCGTACTCACACATTTCGGCCTCTTTCTTTTCCTGTGGGCAAATAGGGCTCGCTTCCCTTTTCAACTCTCGGTATCTATCCCATTACGCACGTGTTGTGGTCGACCGTAAGGTAGGCAGTATCTCTTCGCTGCGACACGACACTTCTCATTGTACATTGTTGTTCTTTTGCATTTTCTGAAAACCAATGGTTTGGGTTGCAGTTGTATGTAAGGAGCTTGAAGTGCCGTCCCACAGTTCTTTTATATCGAGTTCTTGATAAGTGCTCTCAAGGAGAAGGGGTGCAAATCGGATAGAAAATTGTTCGCCTGTCTGTTGTGATAGCAGTTTCTTGACGTGGAATCTTCATTGTGTTTGTTTTCATGCGTTTTTTGCTGCACAGAGGCAGACCTCGGACTGCACGAATCTCTGTTAGGACCTCAGAATGTACRAACGTCTAAAACACTGGACACGTACCTTCCATCTGTCACTTTTCGATCCGGAGACAGCCAGATAGCTGGACTGCTGTGCCAAAGATACCTTACTTGCCCACCCTGGCGTTATAGTCGCCAAACAAGATTTTGAAATCGTTGCGGGGTATGACTGGTGCGTTTATAGCGCTCATAGAGGGTCAACTTTGGTCACATCGTCCTTTTCTTCCATCGGAGCGTGGGCGCAAATCAGCGATATGTTGAAGAGTTTCATTTTGGTGCGGATTGTGGCTAGATATTCCTCCACCGAGGTGAATGAGCATTCTACACCGAATTTGCACTTCTTTATATACCCACTGTAGTATATGCCACAAGGACATATTCGTATCAGTCCTTGTCCCATCCATCGCACTTCGTAGACGTCATGTATGTCAGCCTACACTTTAACGAGAACATCAACCAGCTGGGCAGCGCACCTTCTCAATTTAGGGAYCGGACATTCCAGGTGCATAACTTTAAATGCTAATACTTATTTCATTTGCAGTGGTCGTCAAAAGGAGGTCTCTCATTCGATGTTGGTTTGGTTGATGGTTTATATATCAATATATTACATATAATGTAGCCGCTATTGTCGACATATCATACGTGTCCGATTTGAAGATGTTTCGAAAATGGAAAGCGAGACGAGTTGAAATCCGGGTGACTGTCTGTCTGTCCGTCGTCCGCCCGTGCATGCTGTAACTAAAGTAAAAATTGAGATATCTTAAAGAAATTGGTATGCGCGTTCATTTGTAACAAGAAAATAAAAAGAAGCAATAAGCGAAGACGCTCGATATTCCCAAACGACGTCGCTTCGCTCTATAGGCTCTTAAAAGGTTTCAAGGATGAGGGCCATTTCTGGCTTTATGGGCATGTAAAGAGCAACCTGAAAAGATTGAAGAGCTACCATTTCATTCAGAAAAAACAACGGATTCTTGTGGTTTGTGGGCCATTGTCATCATAGGTGAGAACTTAACTGTCAATGGCGACCGTTATCGGGCCATGATAACCGACTTTTTGATGATCAAAAGAAAGCTTCTGATCTCGGGACATTTCATTTCAAACAGACGGCGCCACTTCTTACACATCGCATCAAGGGATTTTTTGTGAGAACACCTCGATGAACAGACAATTTCACGTTTTGGGCTAGTCGATTGGCCACTAAGATTATTGTGATATATGTAGGTGATTATATGATACTTATTAATGTTAGATGAACAAACTAATATAATCTGAAGCAATATGTTGCAATAGTAATTCTAGTTATTTAAGATTTGATTTACTTTATCGTTTATTTAAGTTATCGGTTGCATAGACTGTAGCAATCTGTTGATATGGTAAAAATTAATATACCTACCAGAAGATACGACGAATGCTGTTTTTACTACATAGATGCACTGAAAAATTAGAATGTCAGTCAACATAGTTTGGATACCATAAAATAATAGTTTTTTTTAAGTATTAACTGCAAGTCTCAAAGCGAAGATGAGGTTAGTGTAGAATAAACTGGTTCAAAATATCAAAATAAATTATTGAAATAAATATTGATCTTAATTGTTTTTAATATGCGGATCTATTACGAATTATTGTATTTACTTTCATATTCTGTATTTAATTCCCAGAGTAATATAAAATTTGGTAGTTGAATATCTTGTCTACTCTTGTTATTTGCCTTATTATTTATTAAGTTAATACCAGTGATTTTAAACCCACAAAACGAACAAATAACACTACATGACACATACAAAAGGTATTAAAACTAATAGTTTTGAATAACGATGTATTTTTTAGTAACATTTTATTCTTGTTTCTGAAATTAACGGAAATTCGACTAAAAGTGGTTGACATTTCTGTAATATACAGAATATTAGATATATTAGAAATAATTCAATATATTTTTTTTTATAAGCAAGCAGGCGCTATCTCGAAACTTTGGTTACAAGCAATATTCCGGTCGGCTGAAATCTGCGTCCAATAGATCGATTCAATTAGTTAAGTTTAAGATAGACAGTTGTTCAACAAACTCTCCCGCGAGAGGCAAATAAAAAATTTGTTACTCAGAGGCAAAAGTCGAAAAATATATAAACCATCAGCGAATTTTCAAAGGCAACGGTACAATCTCCAAACAAAGTTTATAATCATACAAACTGATCGATAAAAGTTAAGTCGTTTTATGCGAAACTTTTTATATGCATAAGATATTCTGGCGAAATTTGGCATGCACCAATTTAAGTTATCTAAAAAAAAAAAAATAAAAAATCGGCTTAACCGAAGTTACCTTTATTATTTTTTAACTTTGTTTGAGTAAAATTTTTGCTTAAGTATATCCTTCACCGCAAGTCGAAAAATATTAACACTGAATATAATCGAGATCAATCCAGCAAACGAGAAATAACGTAAAGTTGGTATATATCGAATTCAATAGTGGACAATTTCTTTAGATTCATTTTTAGGCGGTTCGCTATTAGATATTTGAACTCACATTTTATGAAAAATGGTCATTCGGTACTTAACTACTTCGGTACGTTCGTCAACTGTAGTCGACGGCTACAGATGACTCCACACAGYCGAGCGTTGACTATAGTCAGCAGCCAGGAATTTTACCTTATCTCTATAGTTGCGCAGTGTTCGTTCGCATAATTCTAGTTTCGTAAATTCATTGAACTACACGGTTCTGTACGTTTTATCTCATCAAAGATCTGTCGACGAACGAGACAGCGCGCATCGTGGGCCACGTTATGTGGCCGATAGGCGCCGTACTGAAATAGTTATATTAGTTTAGTTTGCTTAGAAAACGAAAAGACTTTTTCAACTATTCAATATTATTATAAATAATTTTGGGAATACTTAAATTAAAGAATCCACCTCCAGGTAGACCTATCGTAAAGCGAATAAATATGAATAACTTCGGTAAATAACCATCATTTGAAACCTTAAAAAACGTTACATACTATATTCAAAATTCTACAAATCATTATTTTACAACTTTCTCTTACTTGTTTGAACTGATACTCCTTAGGATGGGCCAAAAAAACTTTATTACTATTGTTTCCTTATACCTGAGACACATGTTATAACGATACCATGTATGGTACAAATACCATATGTGTGTCACCAAATACTAGCAAAATACCATATGAGCAATGTAGTATTTTGCTGGTAACAATACTATGATGTTTCATTGTGGTATTTCTATAAATACAGCTAAAAAACAGGTAACAAACTTTGCTAAAAGCTTTTAAACAAAAGCTCTTCGAAATATTCTGTCAAAATGACTTAAAAAATTAACTGAAATGGAAAGCATAACATGTTTCACAAATTTTCTTTCGGAAAAGCAGGAAATGCCTCATTTTATGTGAGGATTTTAGAGAAACTTAAACCAAATCTTTTTTTCTTCTTCTCCATAACACACAACAACATATTTATTATTTACAATTTTTTTGAAATATCTAATGCATATAAAACAAAGTTAGTATTTGAGTTTACTACTTTGCCATGTGTGTCACCAACGTAGTAAGCAGAATACTATGATACCTTTACTATGGTATTGTTACTACATGTCTGTCTCGATATTAGTTACCATGAAAATATCTTCCGAAAAGTTCACAAAAATGCTTATTATTGTTGATATTTTAACGAACTATAAAAATATGAAAAATTTTGGTTATTTTTAGTCGATAACTATATAGATTTTTTAACTTTAGCACGATTAAAAAAAAACGGTAAAAGACATTATATAAAGACAAAATTGGAAGTATTAGAAATATTAGGAATTTTATTACGTTGTAATAACGAGCATGCTAAACGAAAAAGTTATGATTTTATCGAATAAAAGCATGAAAACTCGTGATGAAAATCTTTGTTTTGACTTTGAGTTATGATTACTGAGAATTACTGTGAAAAGTTTTCTTTTACATTTTAAGGTTGGATTTTGACTTTAAATAACTTTTGAACGAGTCGACGTAGTTAAATTTTAATTTAGAATACTCTCTTCCATACTAAGTTTTTACTTTCAAATGCATCAAACATTCCGAAAAAGCAAGAAAATATTCCTGTGATATTGATATGCGCATTCACAAATTATAATACACTATCTAATACTATCAAGATTAAAAGCTCAAATTGCATTTTTATGCTCGTTTCACGCGATATTTTCACGGTAAATATCTAATGAAAAGAATTAAAGATTCTTTTGGGAGCGCTTTAATATTTACTTGTACTATACGTACATACATGTATAGGAATGTACACATGTACGTACTTTTGTCTTTTAAGCTTTATTAAACACATGAGAGTAGAAAAACTATCTTTATATCATATTGATATATACAAGCTAATACCATATATCTATAAAACTGATATTTATTTGCATAAATATGCTAGTTGTGTAACATTTACAAAAAATTATTAATTTATCAGTGTTAAATGCGACTGCGATAAAATTTACATTCATCCTAATGTGAATTTAGTAAACACCTCTTTTGTATGCGGAGTTTATTTATATTTTGCTTTTTTGTTCGTGAACTAYTTATTGATTTACTTGATTTTTTTTACTTTTACCACGCTCTACCTTGGAGAGGTAAGTAACCCGTACACTGCTGCTGATGCCCGTTTGAAATAAAGTTATTTTGATTGCGATATGCCATGGCTAAACTGTTTGACATTATAGAATTATTGCATGATTGCTGTTGAATTTGATTGTGGCTTCCAATCGGTCCATTATAGCTCGCAATAAGGGAGTTTGAAGTATCTGGTGAATGGGAGTTAGTAGTTTCACCCGTTATAAGATTTAAACCACCAGTTATGCTGTTATTCACTTCCGTGGTACTGATATTCTCATTTATGTTAGTGTTGTTATTACTGGTATTACTTGTATTACTAGCCGTACCAGCTTGTTGAGATAGTGGTGTACTGCTATTACCCGAACATGGCTTACCATCTTTTACGAGAACTGGTACTGCTACACGTCTCGGTGAACTGGAAGTCTGTAAATAAAAGTATATTTTATTTTTAATCTTTCTATTAATAGCTGTATTGAAATTATAAATTGGATTACTTTTATTTAAATATAGGCATTAGTGTGCAGAAACTATGAGAAAATCCATAAATACTTTCAGGTGTTAGCAAAATATATTAAAACTAGTATATACTATATTCTAAAGAATTATAAATGGATTAAAATCATATTTAGATCAAATCATGTCATGAAATTTTCGCAAAATCACCGATTTTGAAAATTAGCAGTTCATTAGGAAGGGGATCCCCTTCCGCATACCCCGTGATACAAATATTTCGTCAAAATTCTATTTTTTGGTAAAGTTATTTAAAGTTGAAATTTGGAGCACGATAAAATTTTAAAATTATTTTCTCATAAACTACTGGAGATAAATCGATGATATCTTGTAAAGTGAAAGAAACATGTTCGTACTATATTATAAATATTTTTTCGGGGTCCACTTGTTTAAATAATAATGCCATGTCGCAGCAGAGAGAAAACAGACTGCTAACCTCGCAAAGGTAATATCGACCACAACATGAGTGGGGTGGGATAAAAAGTTGAAGAAGAAAGCGAGACGCATACGCAGACGAAACAAAAGATGCTGATGCGTGAGTACGAAGAGCTTGAGAAGCTGGTCGACAGGCTTCAAAATTCTAAAAAAAGATGAGGCGACTAACAGCAGCTCTAAAGACCGGAGCCTACTCTTTTAAGACTTAAAGTGCTGATGTAGTGATCCTGCGGTGAAAGTGTAAAATCTGGAGATGGTGAAACCCAATCTATGACGACTATGATGAGATTGAATATCAGTTACTCGCCTGAAGAACAACAAAGTTGCAGTGACTGATAAAATACTGGCCGAACTAATCAAATACGGTGGCGAAAAACTTTGTAAAATATTTGTCGGATATAGTTACATATATACATATGTATATGTATATCATTGATCATAAAAACGCTTTTTCCAGACTGGATAAGGAAGCGAAATGGGTATCGTTGTGAACAAGGATAATACGAAATATCGCCTGCAACTAAATAGTCACGATTTGCTCGCACGTCAAAGGTTGATAGTTATAACTTTGAAGTAGTGAATAAGTTCGTATATCGTGGAACTAACATCGACACCAGCAACAATATTAGATTTGAGATCCAACGCAGAATCACTCTTGCCAACGGGTGCTACTTTGGACTGAGTAAGCAATAGAAATCGACGTACAAAGACCAAATTCTACAAGTCTCTCGTCATTCCGTCGTTGAAAAAGGACATGGCCCTATTTGGTATTTCAAATTGGTGCCAAATATCACAAAGAAGATATGACTGGCATGCTCAGCTAAACCCGCGTCAGCCATGCCTACATCAATGAATACGAATATATTATATTTGTAATTTTGTAACTCCATGTTAAATGTATATTGTTAAATCAGTTACCGAAGGCAAACTCTTCTTCTTTGTTTCAGGATACTATACACCTTCACAGTGATTAAACATTTACAGATAAAGAAAGCGCCCTAGACTGCAGTATCAACCAGCAGCGACTTCTTTCGTTTTGGCGACTGAAGCACTTAGTTGGGGAAAATTTTTTTATTGGCCACAGAGCTATGTAAAATTTAAGGAAACGTAGTCAAGGACACGGAAACGAAACTTTGTCCACGTTTCATTAAATTTTCACCAGTCCAACTATCTCAGTGCACAGAATACTTAGTTGTAAAATATAAACTTCCAGGAGGGAGGCTTGTGAACTAAATGCTGGTGAAAAAATGTAACTAACTATAAAAAAAAACGGATATAAGGGAGGTACAAACAAAAAGGAAGCCACAGTCTTATTTCAATGATAGTAAGTTGCATATATGTATGTACATATGTAGGAACATATGGTATACACTCATTTATAAGTATACGCGGTTTTATATCTAGGTGTTTATACCACGAACTAACGAATATCTGTGTATATATTTTTTGTGATCAAGAGCATCGAGTTTTAGCATTAGATTCAAAATATGGTGGATCAGAGGAAATTTTTGGAGGAAGCATGATCAAAATAACAGGAGATTCTGGATATCATTTAGAGCCATGGTGTTTGAAACTATTTAGAAACCCTGAATTTGATTTTCGCCAAACGCAAGTTAATGAAATCTATGCAACAACATGCTATATTATTCAACCAACCATTGGAATACTGAATTGTCGATGAAAAATTCTCAGCCCTGAAAAGACGACAAAATTTATTTATTTATTTATTTAGTAAGTCTATGAACATTAATTCTTACAGACTAGTGGAGAAATTAGGATGCAAATTAGAACTCAAAACAAACAACTAAATTACAAATACATAAATAGATAACTTAAATTAAAAACAGAATTGAGGGTATTAATGAAGGATACCCTAGAGTGCGAAAAATAAAGAAGAACTTTCTCGGAAATCGAGTTAAACTCACGCATAACACGCTTGAGCGGAGCATATTCAGCAAAATGAGTGCCTTATTTTTTGTAATAAAATGGGGAAATAAATCTGAGACAACGCTGAGGAGTATTGAAGTTAACTTTCCATAATAAATAGTGATAGTCGGTTATCTAGTAATTTAAGATGTAAAAGTAATAAACGACATGTATACGTTGGTACGGGGTCGACAAACTTTAGAGAGCGGAGAGTAAATTTAAGAAAAATATTTTAAACACGCTCGATCCTATTAATTGACGATATGCAATATGGTCTCCAAATGAACACTGCGTACTGCAAAATGGACCGAACAAAACATGTTTACAAGAATTTTAACGTATAGGGATCGGAAAAATTTAAAGCATTTCGACGGACAAAGCCGAGCACAGAGAATGATATAGTTGATGTGATTACTGAATGAAAATTTGTTGTCAAAGATTACCCCAAGATCTTTGATTTCAGCAACACATTTTAGGACGCAATTAGAAATRYTRTAACTTGTAGATAAGATGTTACGTCCCCTACCATAAGAGATCTGAGAGCATTTATCTAGATTCAGAAAAAGCTTCGATTTCAGGCACCATTCATAAAAAGCCCCAATATCACATTGGGATTTGAATACATCTTGAGAGTTTTTAATTATTGCAAAAATTTTTAAGTCATCTGCATATAATGGAAAGTTAGTGAAAGAGAAGCAACAGGAAATGTCATTAATAAACAGCACAAAGAGAAGTGGACCCAAAACGCTTCCTTGTGGTACTTCCGAAGATTCAATGAATGAATCAGATGACACTCCAACGACACTGACAACGCATCGTATATTGTGCAGATATGATTCAATCCACTGCAAGAAGACCGAATGAAACCCTAAGGAAGATAGTTTTTTAATTAGAATATTGTGTGAAACTTTACCAAAGGCCTTAGAGAAATCTGTGCAGACACAATCTACCTGAAATCCAGCGGAGAATGCAGACATACAATAATCGCTAAAAACCGCTAAGTTTGAAACAGTGCAGCGCCCAGAGACAAACCCATGCTGATTGACATTAATTATTGATTTTGCTGCAAAAAATAATTTATTTTTAACGGAACACTCAGAAATTTTCGAAGCTGTAGAAAGTTTAGAGATAGGCCTGTAATCTGAGACTACATCTTTTCTACCACCTTTAAGAATAGGGGTAATGCGTGTCAACTTCCAGTCAGAAATAAAATTCCCAGAGGATAGAGACTTATTGAAGATGAGCATGAGAGGATATACCAAGGCAATACAATTTTTTATAAGTACAGATGAAAGCCCATCCAAGTCCAATTTGGAGGAWGACTTAATATCACAAATAGCTTAGGTAATATCATCCTGTGAAAGACGCAGTGTGCCAAAATTTATGGAAGGGAAATTATTAGCTGAAAAAGTGGGACTATTACCAGGAGCATCGTGGGTATAATTCGATTTGAAAAATTCAGCAAACAAGTTGGAGATTTCGCCAGGGGTGCATGCTGACTTATCACCCCACCATAAAGCAAAGGGAATAGCCGAACACGCTTTTCTAGATTTTACAAAGTTCCAAAAGAAATCAGGGTTCGACTTAATTTTAGACTCCGTACTATTAATAAACTATCGATGAGAAATAACTCCTGAGAAACCGATAAATTGGAGGGAATAAGAGCAGGACTATAGGAACAACTAGACCAGACGATATTGCTTAAATTAAAGTCACCCAGAACACAGATATTATTGTCTTTCAAATTATTTAATACCAGCGAGGAAATATTATTTGCGTGCAACTTATACAACTCTAGAGGACTATTAAGAGAGATGTATGAGACTGCAATGAACAGAGCGTCATTGATACAAATACATAGTTGGTCCAGAATTAAACGAGGACGATTTGCGATGAACTTCTGGGAGAACACCACCCCCTTTTAAACAGCCAGTTTTTTTCGTTATCTCTGTCCTTACGGAAGACATAGTAGAGATTTGAGTCAAAATATTCACTATCAAAGTAAATAAAATTCAGCCAAGTCTAAGCAATAACGATAATATCAAAGTCCAAATGTGAAGCAAAGTTGCGAATAATATTTGATTTACACCTAATACTCGATAAATTTTGGTAGTACACATTAAGATAAGAGCCAGTTGAGGAATGTGCAGAAAACTCAGGAGTAAAATCGTCATTAAAAGACGCATCATCTAATATACAGCACTGTTTTAGCTTCCCTTTGGAAGAACCTTGAAGGGACGCAACTTAATGCCAGAAGGCCACTCTGAAGAAGAGAAAGCGGAACGAAAAAAGATAGGGACACACCTAACTTAAAGTTTAAACTCTTAAGATTATTAATATCAGTATCTTTGTTAATTAATTTATAACACAAAAGATGCGCTTTACCAACATTAGCATGTTTAACAACAAAAGATATAATATCTTCTTCAGTGACTGAGTTCTTAAAGGCAGACAAGTGAATCCATTTCTTAGGTATGACGACATCGAGATCACAATTGGCATTAACACCAACCACAGTTGAAGCAGCTGGAGATTTTTTGTTCCTAGTGTCCACTTTTAACTTTAAATTTCCATTAGCAGTAATTGAAGTAGGATAGTTGAGATTAACAGAATCATCAACGGCAGCTGATTGAGCAGCTTTGACAGCGACAGAGGGGCGATCTGGTTTAGCAGCAACTGTTGGATTGTTTCTGCCTTTCGAGTGAGTGTTGATATTCCTAGCCKCAGTGAACTTACTTCAAAAACCAGAGGATTAAGCAACTCATTTACCTTATTGGGTCGTTAGGCTCCAACAAAGGTCCAGATAATTCGTTATTTGATTGTTCAGCGTTTTGTTGCGTTTAAGATATCAGAACAATGAGCATTACGCATTGATGGCGACGCAGGCGGCGAACGAATAGAATTTCTTGGAGCTACTGCGCACACTTTACAATAAAAAGTATTTTAGGATTTCAGCAAAAAATTCACATCAGCCTGTGATAAATTCATACACGTCAAGTGGAAGAATTGATTACATTTATGGCAGATGATCTTGGGCTGAGCGCGATCAACTCTATGACTATGAAACACACGGCATTAATATAGAATAAATAATAGAACGCGGAGCAGAGAAAAAATACGTCTGTTCACAGTGAAACACATTTGCAAACTTTCGACAATGCATGTGCAGCCTTGCATAACATACAACATACTTGTATTTCAGATGTTTTGAAAATGAAAACCAAGAAACAGAAATATATACGGAAAATGAGACCCAATTAACTAAAATTGGTCATAAAATTGAAAATCATATTATGTTGTCTTTAGATAATAATAGAATGAAATGTTCCAATGACATTTGAATTCACATTTGCTTTTAATTAATATTGTGTAGTCGAAAAAATCTTTTCGTATTTCTAATCAAACTTCATCGTATTTTGTTTATATTTAAACTAATAAATAAATAAACAAACATGTCTTAKTTTGGTCAACTACTTTTACCACTTTTCCATTTCGAAATTTTCAGAACGGAAGCGAGYGAACCATTGTTGTGCAACACGAACTGGTACAACATTTGAATCAATAGTTTGAATCTTATTTGCAACGACCTCTGCTTTAAATCGGTTAATTAGCCAAATATTAATTTAATGTTGGATTTCGTGAATTAATATGCGCTTTAATTGTTTTCTACAACAACAAGCTTTCGACAGTGGACTTGGTTTTATTGGCTTTTCTAGCTAGTGGATGGTGTCAGATTTTCCTCTTTTTCATCCAACTCCGTAAAATCTTGCATACCGGAGCAAAGCAAGCTGCCCAGGAAAATGTGAAGCAGATTCTTGTTGACTACTACGAGTATTTAAAGAAAATGGTGAGCAAAGAAGTGCTTTTTAAAAATTAATGGCTCAAAAACCTAAAACTGGTAGTATTAAAATCGTACACTCGAATATCATAATTTCTTCTTCTTTAGACTCCACTAACGCAGTTAAAGACGAGTTTACAATAGTGCGCCAATCGTTCTTCCTTTTTGCGATTTAGCACAAATTGGATATCTCACGCCAAGCCTGGCTTTTCTCCCCTGGCCTTTTCAATGGATTCTTCCTCTTCCTCTGCTAACCCTTGCGGGTACTGCGACAAATCAGTCCTGGAGTGTTTTCATCCGTTCGGACGACATAACCTAGCCTCTGTCTGTTGTTTCGCTAAAATATGTCAATCTCGTGGTATATTCGTCGCGCAAAGGACCRTACATCTTCCGCAGAACCTTTCTCTAGAAAACTTATAACACCGGCTAATAAGATGCTATCGAATAAGCACCTATTAACAAGAGGTATCTTTTGTTGAATTTCGAGGCTGGCGTTGTTGTTGGTGTTAATACTGAGTGTAAGATATGTTAAATTATCTTCGAATTCGAAGGTATGACTGTCAACAGTGACGTGGAAGCCAAGTCGGGACTGTTTGCCCTGTTTCACTACCAGACCCATTTKCTTCGCTTCTTTGTACAACCTTAAGAAAACAGAACTAACGACGCGGTTGTTATGGCCACTGATATCATAACTATGTATATATTTTATGGATTTTCCGACAAACATCCTTGCAAACTTTACTACTAATAAGTAAATAGAAAGGGAAAATTAAATCAATACGATAAAGTCATAAAGGGAATATTTTAGAACTCGACCAGATTACAAAAGTATAACAACATTAGGCGGATAAAGGAACGCATATTATTCGATGACCCAAATMTAACTGCGAAGAAATGAAATCCATATTAATAACTCTGAATGTTCTAATATGTGCACTTTATAGCAAGGTAGTGCTAGATGAATTTTGTAGTAAAGAAAAATGGAAGTTTGTGTATTCTTATCTAGGATTAGACATATGTAATAACAATTGTTATCGGATAATTACTCGACTCGGCTGGTTAACTCAAGGTAGTCTTAGTTCTTTAGATAATGGTGTGAAGGGATTCTAAAAAAAAATACGAGGTTGAGCCATATTGCTCATGCTTGCATGTTTGTTTTATTATTGAAGGGATTCTAAAAAAAAAGACGAGGTTGAGCCATATTGCTCATGCTTGCATGTTTGTTTTATTATTGATGCCCTGAGCTGTGAACACTGTGGATATACAATGTAAAACCTACTGCAAAAGTGTCTAACAATTAAGTTGTACTGGGACAAAATCACATTACAAAGTTAAAATCTTGATAATTTTTAACAAGTTTAAGTTTCCTCCACATTGACAGTTTTGTTATGGTGATTCAATTAGAGGTATTAATTTTCAATAACATACGAAACTTTACGCACCTGATTTTGTTGGCTTTGTTCTGCCATCGCCTTTTCCTTTGCTTGACGCTTGCATTTATACCTGTGATTTTGAAACCATATTTTTACCTGTTAAATGAGAAATTATGTTATTACTTTATACTATTTCGAATACAAATACAAAACATACATATGTATTTACAATATATATAAGTATATATGTGACCTGGTCTACGAAAAGGGAGCTAACGTGCGAAAACTAGTTTTCTGGGAAACCAACTAAAAAGTGAAAATTGATTTTTTGGACTTTTTGACACCTAAGCCCTTTTTCGTAGACCAGGTCACATATACTAGACCTTTTTTAAAATAATCAAGAATAATCACCAATAAATGCACATAACTGTAATTTCAAAAAAGTATAAAAAGTGAAATGCTATCTATAATATAAAACTTTTTATAAAACGTGGGTGTGAAATAGTATGCTAATAAGTTTWATGAATATGGCTCACAAAAGCTATCCTATAAGATGCATTCCAAAGTAAACAGGAGTTTGAAAAACAGAACAAATGTTTTAGCTCGTTGGCCGATATAGCCGCCAGTATGCCGGTGCAAGCCTTTTAAATGGCCTCTACGTCTGCATAACGCTTTCCTTTCATGCAATTTTTTGAAAAGGAAGAAGTCGCTCGGTGCCATATGAGGTGAATACGGGAGTGGTTAATGGTTAAAATGTGATTTTTGGTCAAATAATCAAATTGGATATGTTCAATTCCATTTCCATGAATTGCAATGCTGATTTCGGCTGAATTTTGATGAATTCACGCACAATTTCGATGAAATTTCCTGTGATCATGGATTTTGATTGGACCACATGCTGATCGTCATTTATGTCCTCACGAACACTTTGAAGACGTTGAAACAACTTGTGCACTCTGCTACGGAATAGACAATCATCGCCGTAAACTTGTTTCATCTATTGAAAAGTTTCGGTAAAAGTTTTACCAATTTTAAAACAATATTTAACGTTAGTTCGTTTTTCGAAACTTATTTTCGCACTGGTAACATAAACATACTGACACTTAAATCGCAATAACTTCACTTCCAATCAATGAAATCCTCACCGGTCAATCGATGAGGATAGCAGATTCTTACGCACCAGTCGACACCTACATAGTGCCACCAGAGGTGCTAGATTCAAAAGTTCCTGTTTATTTTGGATTGCACCTTGTATTACAATAAAAACATTCAACAGTTAAGGTGAAAACGAATAAAAATGAGATAAACCTTAAAAATAATACGACAGAAACATTTAATTTCACCGCCCAATATCAATTATGCTAATTTCAACAGGTTTATGGTGGTCGATTCTGATGTGAAGAAAATCCACAAATTGTTCATGAACAACCATTACATTCACCTAAATTGACAGTTTGGTGTAGTTTTTAGCCTGCATTTCTTTTGAAGTGAAGTAGGTGACACCATTACTGTTAATAGAGAGCGGTAAAGATCGACAACCAACTCTTTATGACCGCAATTGGTAAAAGTGGATCTTGACAACATCTGGTTCCAAAGAGTCATGGCGACGTAACACACATTTGAATGATTAGTTATTGAAACCCCTGTATTATTTTACCTGTTATGAGCAGTTTTTTATAAAAAAATTTGTATATAAAGTAAAATATATCAAAACCCTATGAAATATTTCAATAAAATTTTACTATTATTTTATAATGTTCGAAGTGGCAATACCTTTTTAAGGAACAGCAAGAATTTTTCTTCATTTTTATTGTTGTTTTATACTAATATCAAATCACAGAGTTCATTTTGAGCAAATAACTTTTGTGTAAATGTTTTACCCTCTTATTTACGACCATGGCTACACTGTACCGAATGGGCACTTAATGATATCATTGTCTCTGAGCAGTCATAGATATCTCCACGTATGGTTTTTAGTAAAACCAATAAAATTTTTGCTTTCGTTACGAATGAAATTGGACTACGACCATATTCGCTTCTCATATACATATGTATATAAGAATTTTAAATTTTCCGTGATTTCTTAATCTTACATTATATAAGAGCCGTTCCATCTAAATTCAATGTTTTTTTTTGTGAAACATTTTGGGCGAAACCTTGACCTATCCCCCATATAACTATGTTAAATATGACTGGTCACCGTAATGAAACCTTGRACTTATAAGTGGTATGTGGGATAATCAAAAACAGATAAAATCCGGTCGTACTACCTCAACTCTCACATACTAACTATAATAGTTTTTGTTTTTCTAACAAATCTTATATCGAATATTTCGGTCAGTGTATGAGTTATATAGAGTATATGTATGTATAAAATTGATTGGATTCCGATCCTGTGGTTGACATTTTACACTTTAAGGTATTCCCTGGAATTGATTCCACCAAGTTGCAAGAGTATAAGATGTTGGATTACATCGAACCTTTCCTTACTTGTTTTCTTATTGATATGTCACGGTAGGGCAATTTACCAATTGAATTTAATTCTTTCGCTTTCCAGTACACAAATCATGTAGAAGTTAATATAACCGGATAAAACTTACAACGAATAATTGCTTTAGTGTATGCAACTTATGATCACAAATTGTTCATATCCGACAAAAACTCTTCAAGCCTAAATATTTTGTACCCTAGTACCTTTAGTTGACTTTTGATCTAAAATATCTGCCAATGCGTGATGTATATAATTGAAATTCAGAAATACTTATGTCAAAAATGGGTTGAATCGGGGTAATGATTTTCTTAATTATTGAGTTATCTCAATGAAAATGAGAGTGTGGTTTACTCATAACAATGTACCCTAGTGCCCAAAATATATAAATTTGAGCAAAAACTTGACCTAGCCCGTTTGTAACTAAATCAGAATTTTCGCACATCCGGCTGACTTTATTCCATATGATTTGTAATTTTATGTGGAATATCTTATGTGGCATGATAATAATTAATAGCTAAAAAGGGTCGATACTACCCTAAGTCCCATATACTTCATATAATAATTTTCGTTTCTCTAACAAACMTTATATGTGTGTCAGTGTATGAGTTAAATATAGACCATGTATAGATAAAATTGGATGGATTTCGATTATCTGGTTGACCTTAAGGTATTTCTATGGCCTTGATTCGTGCAAGTTCCAAGTGTATAAAATGACTGGTTCCACCCGAACTGAGCCCCTCCTTCCTTGCTGCTCATAAAATTGCATATTTTAAATGCATTATTCGTCCAAAGTTTTAAGCCGTTTTTTATAATTGACTCTTGATTTGTGTACCAGAAATTGAAAATATAAAATGAAATTTTATATTCTGTTATATGGGAAGTAGTCGCGGTTGTAAACCGATATCGCTCATTTTCACACCTTAGAATAAAAATGTTAAAATAGTCCAAAGGGATCTGTTAACGGTACTTTTTTGTGACAACATTCAGCTTTATTGGAACGAGTTAAGCAAGAGCACGTTTTATACCCAATGTATACACCGAACTCATTTGAACGGATTCGCGACAGATGTAGAGCTCTCTATCTATCTTTCTAACGCTTGCCTGATGATTTTCAAGCACTCTATCTTTCACTCTTACTTTTATCAGCTGAAGAGGGCGAAAGTCGTCCAAAATGAATAATATTTTCAACGATTTTTGACAAATTAGGCCTGTTTTGGCCTGTAGTCATGTGTAGAAGTTCACGCAAGTGAGAAAAGTTCTCTAAGCATCATTCACTTGCGAAGACGATGCGACCAAGGATGCCTTTCATGAGCCGAATAGTTGGTAACGGTAAATTTAGCCTTTACGAAGAAACATCACCAAATGGGTTGAGGCTGATAGACTATGGTCATCTGTATTACTAGATTCCAGAAAAATTCATTAATTCAAAAATCCACCAACCAGATCGATGATGTTGTTATAGATGACAGACACGTCTCCAGTGTTTTAGACGCTCCTTGGTTTTAGCGAGTGCAACATTACTTTTTTGAAGCAAATACACGCGTTTGGCTCTGTGCAACAAAAAATACACAACAAGAAACACAAAGAAGGTTCTACGTGAAGCTGCAATTACAAGACAGAGAGGCCAAAATGCATGAGTAGCGTATATCGTCACATATTAGCCGACAAGGGTAATGTTCGTAACGAAAAGATGCGGTGATTAACAGAAGTTTTAGAGCAGACGCTCTATTTACCGACCATGAAKAAGGTCGAGTAGCTATTACTAACAAAATGCCCGGGGCCAATAGATTGTCGGCCCAGCTATACAAACAAGGTGGCGAAGAGCTGATAAGAAGAATGCATCACCTTCTTTGTAAAATATGGTCGGACGAAGGCATGCCCAACGGTTGGAGTGTGCTTTACCCATTCCTCAAGAACGGATACCCATAATGTGCGCCAACTACCGTGCGATAAGTCTCCTCAATATGGCGTATAAGGTTCTATCGAGCGTATTGTGTGAATGATTAAAGCCCATCGTCCAGTAACCGATTGGACCTTATCATTGTGGCTTTAGAAAATCAGCAACCGACCAGAAATTCTCCATGCGTCAAAGCTTGGAAAAGAGATCATTTTCGTCGATTTCAAAGCTGCTTTTGACACCATGAGAGAAGTCGCCTTTATGCAGCGATGTCTGAATTTGGTATCCCCGCAAAACTAAAACGGCTGTGTAAACTGGCGTTGAGCAATACCAAAATCTCCGTCGGGATCGGAGAGTATCTCTCCGAGTCGTTGGATATCAAACGAGGTTTCAGACAAGGCAACTCATTATTGTGTGACCTCTTCAGTCTTCTGCTGGAGAAAAGCATTCGAGCTGCAGAACGTAATCGAGCAGGTACGCTGATGCTATTGATATCATTGGCCTCATCACCGCCTTTCCATAGACTAGAAAAGAAGCAAAGCAAATGGGTCTGGCAGTGAGCGAGGAACCAGCATCAACACCAACAACAATGTTAAACTGGAAAGCCAACGCAGAATAACTTTTGGCAACTGGTGCTAGTTTGGACTGAGTAAGCAATTGTGAACTAAAGTCCTCTCTCGACGAACAAAAACTAAACTCTATAAATTTTCGAGAGAACGGTTCTGTATATAATAAATACATGATTATTTGCGCATTGGCCACGGCGAT